GGGCCCAGGCGGGGCTGGGGGCCCCCCCCCCCCAGTGCACAAATTTTTGTGCACCGGGCCTCTAGTATGATACATAATGTTAAGATGTAGAACATTATCACCACCCCAGAAGCTGGTATTATTGCTAATAGAGGTGGTGCCCACTTGCAGTCCTTAACCCTTCCAAAAGGCAAACATTACTCTCATTTGTATCACCATGGATTAGTTTGTTTATTTTTGAACTTCAAAGAAATTCTGTAGTATGTTCTCCTTTTGTCTCCTTTTTCTCTCTTAACATTATGAAGTTCATTCATGTTTTTGAACTACTAGCAGTAGTTTGCTCCATTGCTGTATGTTATTCTACTGAATGAATATACCATAAATGTTATTCTTACGTTAGTGAATAGTTTTGTCATTTCCAGATTGTAGCTATTATTGTTAATGATGCTTATGAACATTTTTTACATGTTTCAATAAATGCTTAGAGGAATAAAATATGTCTTATCTGGAAACTGGAGAAGAAACATATTTTACCTTATATTAGTAGAAGACAGTAAAGAAGTCAACTTTTCTAATTTGCTTCCCATTATAGTACTATTGTTATTACTCATCATAACAGTACTTATAGTATCTAACATTTATTGAGGTCTTACTGTGTGCCTGGTAATATACCAATCATTTGCATATCATTTAATCCTCACAACCATTGCCTCAGATAATATCAGTAACAAAAAGTCAACTAACAATTGATTAAAGACTGTAGACAGACATACTCTGCAGAATGGTGCCTTCTAATGTTTTCTCTCTGAAATATCTCTTTGTTTTTAAATACCCAAACTTTATAGAACCTACTTATTTCTCAGTACCACATTTAGCATATCTATTGTTTACAATATGTGTGGGAAAGTTTGTTACATTCCAAATTCAATTGGTAGAATGTCAGAATCATATATAGACTTTTTGAAGTTAAGTGTCAAAAGAGGGAGCACAGAACAGTTACTGCAGTCATATTCTGAGACATTCTCTGTCATTTTTCATTGTTTGTGGTATGTGGTACAACATGTAACTATGTAATGCATGCAAAGCAACCTTTAAGCATAATTGAGAATTTTTTGATGATCTAGAAGTGATATTTTAAGCATATTATCTTCTAACAGTAATTTAATATTTATACCTGGGCATTTTACTGTATTTTAGTTATGAAAAAATATCTTTATGACCTTTTGATGGGCAAAGAGTTCTTTAATTGGACAGAGAAGCAAAACTATCTTAAAAGAAAAATTCAATAACCTGAACTGTGTTAAAATTAATAACTGTATTCATCAAAAAACATCATTAAGAGAGTGAAGTATCACAGACTATGTATGTAATACACACACACCACATCCTGGGTTGTATGTCCAATCTAATCTAAAAATATGTTAGTGGATTGAACAGACACTGCAGAAATTAGGATATCCACATGGCCAGTAACATAAAAAGATGTTGAACCTCACTAATCATCAGGGAAGTACAAATGATAACAAAAATGGGATACTTCTTCACATCCACCAGAGTAGTGTAATGAAAATACTGATAAATCAGTGGTGAGTATGTGGAACCACACTGCTGGTAGGAAGA